CATCGCTTCATTGGACCGTTTGAAATACTCGAAAGAATTGAGACTACTGTTTACCAACTGGCATTGCCACCGGAGTTAGCTAATATCCATGATGTCTTTCATGTATCCATGCTACGCAAGTACCACCCTAATCCATCTCATGTATTTCAATATGAAGATATTCCTATTGAGAAAGACATGTCCTATTAAGAGGTACCCATAGGCATATTGGATAGACAAGAGCGAGTATTAAGGAATAAGACTATTCTGATGCTCAAAGTACTCTGACAACATCATTCACCAGCAGAGGCTACTTGCAAAACTGAGGACTCGATACGAGCTCAATATCTTTACTTTAAGGTGTATCAAATTTGAATGACCAAATTTTGTTAAGGAATGGAGAATTATAATATCCGAACTCCAAAAACAAAAGAATATGTAAATAAATAAATTAAATTAGGATTTACGGTTTAGGATTTAAATGAAAGAAATTTTAATAATTAATGGGTTTTTATTAATTTTAAAGATCTAAATGAAACAGGTAAAAAAAAGGGATAAAAGCATAATTAAATGAAAATTGAATGAGGCAAAAAGAAATCAGAAGATAGATGGTCCTGATCGAACCGTCTGAGGGATCCAATGGTTAGAATTCTATTTAGTTTAAGCGGCCCAGATTGAACCTTGCAAGATCCAATGACCAAGGAGACGTGTATTTAAGGAAACAATTAGGGTTTCCTTCTTTATTCAAAAAAGAGGAGCCAAAAATGAGAAAGAGAAGGAGAGGAGCCGATCGGGTGAGAGAGGAGGTCGAGATTGAGGAAGATTCGGGCCGAGAATGAGAAGGGAACGTCACACAAGGGAGAGACGAGCAAGGAAACGTGGCCGAAGAAGAGAAGACGAGGTATTGCAGAGGTAGAAAGCTGAAAGGAAGGGAAGGAAAGGGAATCGGGCTGAGAAACACCGTGTCGACTGCAGAATCCGAAGCCGAGTTGCATGCGATGCCAGTATACGAAAAATTTTTAAGTTTCTTCATTTCCATCTTTATTTTTCGAGAATCCAATTTTCTATTTCATACTACCCGGCATGTAGATGTGAAATCCATCATCCAAACTTTGAAGCAAGCAAGGAGTATTCGCAGGGAACCAAAAAGACCATCATCGGAGTCGAATCCGAGGCTGTTTGGGTTTTCGGAGCACCGTACCCTAGCCAAGTGCGTTCATTTTCCTCTTTCGGTGTCTATTTTTGACGAGATGGGTATTCATGTATGTGTGTGTGCGCAAGTTCGGGAGGTAAAGCGTTCGCCTCGCCATAGTGAGTGTGAGAGTCCTCTCAGGAAGACCGGAAATTATCTCCGGTGGTGTGAATCAGAAATAAATAAAACTGTTGGCCTTCATAGCACCAAACCAAATCAAGTGACCTTTCGTTTCCTTTTTCGTTATGGAGTTTTGGGTGATGTCAGATGCTAATACGTATGTATCTGTATACATATAAGTATAGGTTTTAGAAAGTAAATCGCCATACCTATGCAGGAAGCTGAAATGGTGGTTCGTCGAATACTGAAACGGCATTCGTTGTGGTAATTACCTGAAACGGCATTCGTTGTGGTAATTACCTGAAACGGCCACTATTAGTAGTTTTCCTAGGGTTTAATTTATTTTCACCACTTAAATCTGATTATACTTATGTATGGTGAGTTTAGATTGCTGATCAAGTGGAGTACAATCTGTTGAGGGACTTTAGTGAGTATTTCCTTATTCCAAACATGGATTGGGATTTTAAAGATTTATGCATAGGTATTCTTAAAATTGTGTGTGTTTTAATATAGAACAGATATTGACCTGACTTTTTGATGAAGAACAAAACATGGACGTATGACGAGTGAACTCTAACTTGTTGGAAATTATGAGGAAATGGAAAACCTGATAAAAATGAAGAACTGATGAATGTTTGAAATTGTGAAAAGAAATAAAATTATAATTGAAAAAAAAAACCACCAACAAAGCGAAAGGTTGAAAAAAAAAATAACATAAGAAATTAAATAAAAGTAAAGATGAATTAATTATGGTTGCGAAACAAATAAACTTAAATAATACTTAAAAGAAAAATAAAAAAAATGGGAGTGAATAAGAAATTGGAAAAGAAGATGATGCGAGTGAATAGTGCATGGATACTGAAGACTTTCTTGTTTAGTCTGAACCGAAGAGGGGTGCATGTGTGTGTGGTTGAAATTCAGCGGGGATGGTGAACCTGCATATGGATAGAGTTTGAAACCTAATCCAGACATGAATAGGTGTTTGTAAGTGTGGGTCACTTAGCAAACGTAACTGTTGTGGCCAATGTGAAATTTTGTGTGTGTGCTATCCATGCGGGAGGATCCATTTCACCTCTCCTTGATGACGATATAAAAGACATCGCGAGATGAAACTTTAGAGATGATCTTTCGAGTCGAATATAATATATATATATATATATTCTTTCGAGTGTATATAGTTATATTTCGAGATTATAAATGATATTCAAGTATAATTGAGGAATTCGATTTAAAAAATATAAAATTAAAATGTTAGAAACAATTGTATTTAATAAGCAAATTCTGATTTAGAAAATGGTATAACTTACAAATAGATTTTTGTATTGAAAATATCATTTCTGCATATACTCCATATTGTGTGTTTTGCATGAGGTCTTATTTGAGTATGAAAGAACGAAAATACTTATTTAGTTAATGAAACTCATTAAATTTCATCTTGATAATTTTCAAATGAAAAACAAGAGTCAGAATCACTGTCAAACGATTAGAACTTGTGAAAATGTTCACATTCATGTATATTTTGTTCATATTTTACAAATGTTCGTTTTATTTTGTTGAACTTTAAATTTTGATTTCATATTCTGTATATATAACTATTGTATATATCACATTATATATTAAGTTTTATGTTAATTTTTGAGTTATGCACATGCATATTTTGTGGGCCTATTATATGAAAATAGTATGCGTAGGAATTGCGCCTCATTATCGAGTTTTGGGACGTGACATGTTAATAAAGCATATAGTATATGATTAGTTTTACAAGTAAATAACAAGAACAACAACAATAAGAGCAAATTCTGAATCTAGGACCTCAAAATCACCTTAGTACAGAATATTACTTTAGCTTTGAATGGAATAAGATTGCACGACAAGTAAGACATATAAAAACAAGATATCTAGTTGCCAAAAACATTGCCTTTGAAGAATGAACACTGGATTCTTGAAAGGCTCCCTTTATCCATCTGCACACATGTTGGCTGCAAAATAGGAACAACAGCTTCTAGTAAACCATTGTTTGGTAACAATTATTGCAAGATAGAAATGGGGAATTTAAAAATCAGAACCAAAATGAACTCCAAAGAATTTAAATATCACGTGACTTCACTTTAAGAAACTCCAAGCAGAGTAACTTTCTTACATGTTCAGTATACAATATAGAGAGGAAACTTAAAATTTATTCCATTTAAAATAAAATTTAGTTTTCCCTTTATATTATTTGTTTGTAATCTACTGTCATAGTAATTGATATCAAAGTCTAGAGAATTTAACCAAAAAAAAAAAACCAGTCTCATAATTCTAAGATAGAAAGCACATATCGAGATAGAAAATAAACATGTACAGTTGTTGAAAATCAGAATAAGTTTGGGAAAATGACAGTGGAAATATTACATGAGCTTGAAATAACTTTTTTATTTTTAAAAACCTATGCCATGTTTTCACTACTACTTTAGAGACCTTACTCTCACTTTCAACAACTATACAGGTTTTGTATGTGTACATATATATACTAATTTATAAAATGGAAACTCAAGAAAATTTTATACAGCTAGACAGAGCCTAAGTTATACCACAGCTTCAAAGTTTAAAGGCTAAGAGTGAAATCCAGTATACTCAGCTGAAAACATTATGACAAAGAAATAGAGAAGATTTGAAGAAAAATAACAACTTTGCAGAAAATTTGAGGAGAAAGAAGTTTAAATTTTACTGATTTTTTTTTTTGGAAAACAACTCCAAATGCTAGCTCTTATAGCAGAACTAAACAAACTAATTATAGCTAATCTTGTGCTAATTTTAAGTAATGAAACAAACAACCAATTAATTCTAACAAACTATGACAATTAGTTCTGGGTCTTGGCACATATGGTAAGGATTCGATGTTGAATAACTGCAAAAAGAACAATTTCCTAGGTTCAAATATCTCAAACTCTTTATCGTTCTAATTAACAGAAGAAAAAGCAACCATAAGTTCTATATAAGAAAGGACATGTTTGCAGAGCCAATAATCTATAAGACAACATCAACTCTGGGTCTATTCACATCATGTTGCAGCAAACACTCGCTTTAGATTGGTCAATGGGTCAATGTCTAATTAGGAACTACCTTATAGTTTTCTTCATGATTTAGAAAATAATAAATAGATAAATAAACAAAATCAAGAATCAGAATTTGCATCGTAATCAAAGAAATAATTTCAGCATTATAGGAAGTGATTTTAGAGCAGATAGCAGATATTTACTTAATCTATACCACTATCTGCATAAACTCGTGCCAAGTTATGACATTGAGATATAAACAAATGCAAATCATCAAAAGTTGTAATAAAATCAATAAAGTATTGATAAAAGCAAATGCTGGACAAGCTGATCCATCAGACCACTTACAAAAGCAGCATCATGGAGCTACTTTCTTCCTGATGCATCTGTCCAGCCAAGACCTGGTCTGCATGGTTCCCCTTGTGGCTCTTCATAGTCATGTGCATCGCGAATTGAGGCTTCAAAATCAGTTGTATCGCTTGCAACAGGAAGGAAACTACTTATATCATCCCGAGCTCCAAATCCCCCAGCACGAATGATATCCTCAGTTGTAATGGAAGCCTCCATATTTACAGCCCCAAAAGTGTCTATATGTTCCATGCCACCACCTCTGGAAACAAGTTCACTATCTTTCCAGTCAGCCTTTTTCCCCAGAGCATGTTTTCCTGGAGGACTTGGACCTGGACTTGGTATACACACATCTTTCACATCAATATCAGGATATTTGGATTTAGCTGCTTCGTTCTCTGTTATGCTCTCTTTTCTGTCTGCTGCATCTGTTAAAGGACCAATTACCCTAGTTCAAAAAAGGAATCCCCACACACACAGGCAATGATTTTTTTAACAAAGCAGTGGAAGAAGACATATATTCTGATAATGATAAATCAGGCCCAATAAAGGCGGAACTTTGACAAAGCCCTGCCCAGATTTCTTCCATTGCATTCGATTCAATTTTATCCTATTCTCATTTAGGTGCTCAGTCATAATCATTATGTATCGAATCCCTCTCTTTCCATATTCGCAATGAATTCACCAATCTTATGCTACTGACCACAATGTTTCAAATCAAATAACAATTGAGACCAAAGAGTTAGACCTTTCTTTCATATAGATTCTCTATTCCTAATTTCTTTGATATGGAAAATACTGGAAAGAGCAAACAAGGGATGTAAATCTCCCTACTAATTTATGCTACATGAATGGGAGAAAAGTTGAATGGGAATAAAAAGCCCCGGATCAAATCCCTTACCTTGTGCCCCTTTATTTAACCTTAACTTAGGCAAAAGGGGGCAAAGTTGTACGAACTCTTTTTTTCTTATTTTAGTTAAGTTAGTTTTAAGTTTGACGAGAATAATATTTTACGACAAGTCATTCATCTATTTTCAAACCGACACATTTTCTATCTATTATTTGATTGACTAATCCTTTATATTGGAATGTGTGAAGAGTCAAATGGTTTGGCAATTCCTCATGGGTGGATGAATCAAGAAAACTTTGAATCAAAGCTCTAGATTTTTGTTCATAGATCTTAATTACTTGACAAATAAAACGTAGTCATAATTTACATATTTAAACATAAATAAATTAACTCCATTCACATCTTCAATTTTAAAAAAAATAAAAAGATTTTTCTTCCTACTTGTCAAAAAAAATAAAAATAAAAGAACACCAAAACTAAATTGAATGTGGAATCGATCCAGAGATAAAATTTAATTTTCATCTGAGTTTTTCTATCATAGATGTATTAAATTGTCATTCATATTTCATAAATTAAAATTTGAATGAAACTCAATCTTAACTTATTGCCTTCACAGAAATATTTCAGCTAGAAATAGTAATAGTTAAAATAAGCCCCAATATCAAATGAAGTATTTAAAAATGGCAAGCATACCCTGTTTATCTAAGATGTATCAGAACCATGTTATGTTGCCTCCCCCAACAAGGAACAGAGTTATCCATTCAGGAATGGAGGACTAGGCAGGGGAGATACGACAAATAAGAGAGGTCGAGGGACAATAAATTTCCGTGCGATCAATTTAAAGTAGATCTTACCATGCAAAATTTTAATTGATTCATCGTCCATGATTTATCAACAATCTCTTCTTTTTGGCCTGAATCAGTTTCTTTGAACTTCTGAAAGAGAATAAACGATGCTATTTATAGATTATAACCAATTAATTTGCCAAATAAACTTCAAACACAAAATAATTGTAATTCAACATGACGCCAACCTAGACAAATTAGAGGAATGACCAAAGAACCTGAAGTTGCAAAACCCTTGATGGAACAACATAAGTTCATTCTAAACATATAAAAATAGGAAAGATAGGACCTCACTTGGAAAGCACTGAGGAAACTAATGCAACAAACATAATGGGAAACTAATGAGTTCAAGCATCAGCTGTCACTACTTCACTTGGTAATATGTTAAGCATTAGGTCAGAAACCTTATTTGACAAATTTTTCTTGTTATTCTTAATCTAATTTTAATCCTTTTATGCTTCTATTAAAATAAATAAATGGATAAGGCCAAGAAACAAAACCCTAATGTGTGTGGAGTTGTTGACACTTTCTCCTTGCTCGCTCTTTAAGTTCATTTTTTCCATTTAAGATCTTTCGTACTTGCTGTGTCATATAACATCCTAGGATTGCAGTTCAATTTCATCTTATATAATTTGTTCAATTAGTAACCATCCAAAGAAAAAAGATTGAGAACCTTAGGAAAATATGGGAAAAAGAACAATAACAAATGCTACATCCAATTCATCAAATTTCATTTCTATTCATTTATACATGTGTCTATATGCGTGTGTTCTATACTATACATATGCATATACAAAGTTATATATTTTTTAAATGAAAAATGGTAATGTATAGTAGTTGAAAATGAAAAGAAGTTATAAAAAACAGAAAATCGAGTATAATTATTCTAAGAAATAGTAAAAGTTAATTTTAGAATTTTTCTGAAAAAATTAATTTTTATCATATATGCACATAAAAACGATTAACATGATTCCACTAGTATATACAGATACACATGTGTCTAGTGTTTTATTTATACATACACATACAAAATTTTAAAATAGATATAAAAAGATATATACACTTAAAAATTCATATATTCAAGCATATGTATATATATTGATATATAAGTATATTATTGATGTCTTCAGAGATTGAACAGGCTGAGATGACAATCTTCAGAGATTTTGGATACAGTAATTTTTTGATGCTGCATTATTTGAGAATATATATATATCTTAAATATTAAAATATATATTTTTACAGACAAGTAACACTGCATGGAGGCCTACATACATATATATACAAGTGTGTATTATACATATGTGCATTTGTATAAATATACAAAATGGGAGCTGGAAAATGCTTTTCTACAATAAAAGAAACAAAAAATTCTCAATGCTAGAACGACATTCGAGGAAGAGAACCACGTAAAACAGCACATAATTAAACAGTTAAAAATGCGAAAATGACAGAAAAACCAACAAGAATACATATAGTTCATCTATCCATTTCATAGAATCAGCAATTCTAGAATAAAAAATTCAAGAATCACGACCGAAGTAGAATCCATTATCTCCAGAGATCGCTGTCCTTTGAAGCACATATCATATCCGTCGATATACATACCGGCAGAAAAGAGAGAGAAATTCTAGGGTTTATCGACAATCAGCGACCAGAAATGTACATGCTGTCAAGAGAAAAACACATTCATTGCGTACCTGAACAGCGTAAACACTCAGCTTTTGCCGCTTGCGGTGAAGAAAGAAAATGTTGCGCTAGTGATGGCTACCATGAGTACAGCAGAATACACATGGCTACGCCTGATGACAGTGACGGTGCGGGTGGTGAGGCGGTGCGGAGGCCAGTTATTTATGGAAAAATAAATAAATAAATAAAATAAAATAATTGGTGACGTGGCTTCATTTATATCATTTCATAAATTGACATTTAAAAGTCATTTCATATGTTTATTGTATGTAATGGACGAAATATTCCATTTAATATGTGATACAAAATTAATGTATTTTAACGCATTTAATATATGAATATATTTTTTAAATATTTGCTCCAGTTAAAAGAGTACCTTCTTATTATGTCACCTTTGGAGTACAAAATTTTATAACATAACTTAAAAGGATACTCAAATGGTTAATATTTTATTATACTCATGATATTTTATAAAATAATGAGTCCAACATTTATACAAGCAACCATTTATAATTTATTATATATTTATTTTAATATAGTATATAGATAAAAATTAAATATATTTTAATGAAGTATTCTTAATTATAAATCACAAAAAAAAAAATAATATACTTTTAATTATATTATAATTTTTTTAAATAGATATATTACTGTCAATAAATATGTAAATTAAAATAATTAATTCGTTATTTAATAAAATATAAATTATAATTTTTTAGTAGTATGTAATATTTAGTTAATATGTCAAAAAAATGTGAATTATACATTTTTTTATTTTTTTATCATAATTATTTTCTTATATTATTTTTATTTCTCATATATATGTCAATATATACTTGTTTATATCTTTTTTAATTTTTTTTATACATTTTATGGTTTTTATCTTTTTAATTTTATATATTTTAACTTTTTTATCCCGAAAAATAATAAATAAATATTTTATTAGTATCAAAGTTTATAACAAATATCTCCCAAAAGATAATACAACAACCAAAAGACAAATAATAAAATTTAATAAAAAGAATATGACAAAACCAAATCGAAAAAACCACTAAAAAAACTACATATTTACAATTGTAGACAAGCAAAAGGATAAAATTAACCTCCATGGCCCTATCCACATGGGATCAAAATAGAAAAAAATTCCATTACCACAACATCTAATTAACTTAAACCAGCATATGTTAAATTGCCAACCTAAAAAATAAGAGACCAACCTTGTTTGAAGTAATTTTGATTGATAGAAAGATCCAAAAGATCTTCATCTGTAGTGCTCGACAAAGTATAAACAAAAAAAAAAAAATTAATGTTAAGACTCTAAACAAAAAAGTAGTGATTACTCTACCAAAGCACCATAGTAGGCCACAATAGAACTAATCACCAGTAAGGAATTGTTATAAAATGGGATCTTAATGATGGACAATTCTCAAGTTGAATATTTTATGTGTTATCAAACTTCCATTGATGTGGAGCTTTTTTACAATACAAGATGATCAGGATAAATATAGTATATACAGGTGTCTATCTATGATTAATACATCTGTCATAATTAACCTAAAATATTCTTCAGTTGAGGAATATTCATGAGGAAATGTTGAGTTGTGTGTGATTTGCTAATGACAACCTGTGTAATGGTAATATTCCTCCAGCTGGTTATGTAATATTCTTGGTTGTACAGGTAGGTGGATTTGGTGCACTTTCACCCCCTCCCTCAAACTTGGCAGTGAAAGAGGTCTTAGCACCACTCCAAGTTTGTTGCAGAAGTAATTAAACTGAGATTAAGAGAAAACCTTGGTGAGGCAGTCAGCTATCTAATCACAAGAAGGTACATATCTAATGTCCAGTTGTTTCCCTATCATTTTATCTCAAATGAAGTGGACATCAACTTCTATGTGCTTAGTACGAGAGTAAAAAATGGGATTGCTTGCAAGGGCGTTGACACTCACATTATCACACCAGGCAATTGGTATTTGGGACAAAGGGAAGTGAAGTTCTTTAAGAAGAGATTTAAGCTAACTAATTTCGCAAGAAAGGTGTGCCAATGCTTTGTACTCTGACTCACTGGATCTAGAGATTACATTTTGCTTTTAAAGTTCGAGGACACTAGAGTATAACCAAAGAATACACAGTATCTTGCTGTTGATCTACAATCGCCTTTTTTGCAGGCTAAATTTGCATCAGAATATCCTACCAACGCCAATCTGTCAGAAGGTCGTCAATTATTCATTGAGATATCTAAGCACTATTTTGACCTTTTTTTGGCGCTGATTTGTAGGTTTTTGCATGAACTGGCTCGTGTGTGAGTAACGTACTGGAGGGCTCCAATGATTTGTCTGTATAATGATGGATTCGACAATGGATCACCATTATAAAGTGACATTGCAATGTCAACAATTGCAGGTGTAACACATGGTTTAGTGAGAAGCAAATCATTATTGCTTTAATAGCTCTTTAAATATTTAGTTTGTGTCCGGTACAGGCCTTTTTCATCTCGTGTCCCTTCAATTCCCAGAAATAGGTGTAGCTCTCCAAGATCTTTCAAGGCAAAAGTTGTGAAGCTGATCAATAATGTAAGCTCTTTGTGTTGCTTCATGTCACTATAATATCATCAAGATATATTAGTACTAGGATAACAAGATATTCATTGACCATAAAGAACAAGGAAGTGTTTGATTCTGAGTCTTTCAAACCCTATTGTAGTAGTGTCAGTCTCAATTTCTCGAACTAATCTCTGGGTGCTTGTTTGAGTCCATAAAGGGCTTTGTTTAACTTGCATACAAAAGTTGGTTTTTTTATCTTCAAACCCCTGTGGTTGACTCATATAAACCGTTTCCTTCAATTCTCCATTTAAAAACGCATTGTTCATATCTAGCTGTCTAATATTTCATCCTTTTGAAATGGCTACCGTAAGTATTACTATTACAGTTCATGCCTTGATGACTGGGCTAAACGTTTGATTAAAATCAATGCCAGGTTTTTGATGACAACCTTTAGCTACAAGCCTTGCATTACATCTCTGAAAGCTCCCATCAGCATTTGTCTTGACGTTGAAAACCCACTTATTGCCCACTATGTTCATTTTCAGGTCTGTGAGGAATATGGGTTCAGGTTTTGTTTCTTACTAGTGCATCCATTTCGTCTTACATTGTTGCTTTCCAGGGTGCATGACTGGTTGGTGCTGCAACTAACATCAAAAAGTTCAGTTTCTATTTTCTTGACATTGAAGAGTTGGTATTCTGGTGGGTACTTCTTGGGCTTATGAATCCCTACTTTGGCTTTTATCAACATCTGGTGTATGGTAGGTTCTTCTTGATTATAAGTGTTTAATACTTCTTCTTCTTCTTGTCTAATATTTTATTTTTGTATGGCAGGTGGACCAGTACCAAAATCTGATTCATTTGACTATAGAGAACTACTAGCACTTGATTGCTTTGGATGATTTTGAGGTAACGATTGTTGTGACTCAACTTGAGGTGTTGTTGCTGTTGTAGATTTTATAATTAGGTCTCAATTACTTGAATTTGAAGGAGAGAGTACACGTGTGTGAAGACCTATTTGAGAGGTATTAAACCAAATAGGTAAAGACACTATAGTTTGATTTTCTGATGATTTTGTGTTTAAAAATCCAGAGTGGAAAGGAAACTCTATTTCATTAAATATAATGTGCCTGGAAATATACATTTTACCCGTAGAACTCAAACACTTATACCTTTATGTTGAAGGCTGCATCCCACGAACACACACTTAGCGGAATGAAACTGAAATTTATGGTTTTGATAGGGTTTAAGACACGAAAAACAAGCGCAACCAAAGATCTTGAGTTAGTGATAACTAGGTAATTTGTTATATAATTTTTGCATGGGTGAGAGGTTTTGCAAAACAGGTGTAAGTAATTTGTTGATTAGGAAAGTTGCTGTCTTAAAGGCTTCAACCCAGTATTGTAATGTCATTTTTGATTTAGCAAGGAGAGTTAATCCAGTCTCATTGATATGTTTGTGTTTTCTTTCTGCCCTACTGTTTTTGAGTAGAGGTAAAAAGGTAAGAATATTTTATTTGAATTTCACTATTTTGCAATATTTTGATGAGACTTATGTACTCTCCACCCATATCAAATTGGATACTCCTGATTTTTCTTTCAAATTGATTTTCAGTTGTGTCTTAAACTGAACCAAAATTTGTTTAACATCTTATTTACTTTACAAGGGATAAAGCCATATATAACGACTAAAATCATCTATGAAAATGACATAATATTTCTACCCTGACAGTGAATTTAATGGTGCTGATCCCCAAACATTTGTGTGGATGAGTTCAAGTGGAACTCTTGCATGTGATTGAGACAAGGAATAAGGCAACAAGTGAGATTTCCCAAGTTGACAGGAATCATAAAAAGATTTTTCATTCAATATAAATTTTTCATTACAACTGTTTAAGATTTTGGACAAAATTCTTGAATAGAGGTGTCCTAAACGTCTGTGCCATATTTGAAAATTTTCTAACTTGAGTTTAAATGCTACTAACTCTTTGGTTTTCTTTGATAAAAGGGCCCGAGCTGGAAAATGATTTTGAAGTGATGGTTGACTCAAAGATTCAAAGTGATAGAGAACATCCTTGAGCCTCCCCAGCAGCAACACTTTTCCCATAGTTTTGTCATTCATAGTATAGCTAAAAGAATAAAATAAAACATTAATATTATTGGTTTTAATCAGCTGGGAAATACTTATCAGATTTTTTTCAATTTCTGGAACATAAAACACATTTTCTAATAACAATTTTCTGTTATTTAAAGTATGCAATTAAGCTTTACCAATGTGTTTTATAAGAAGTTTCTCACCATTTCCTATGACCGAACCTTCTTTTCCATCATAGTCATGTTTTGAATGAAGATTATTTGCATTGTCGGCCACATGATTGCTAGCACCACTGTCTGGATACCAAGCCTGACCTCCAATAATTGTTTTAGTAGCTGCTGTA